ATTAATATACTAGAGCTATAGAGGGTCATGGAAGGATGAGAAAAATGGAATCAAGTCATATCATTCAAATGCGTTCATTAATATCTATATTTTAACTTATTTGCCCACCCCCCAAAATACCAGGTGAACAAGTTAATTGGAATAATAAAGTTTGTCTATAAATATAGAAGGGCTGGAAGCTAAGCACAGGAAGTCCTTATATACATGCAGATGTGTGAGCCCCTCAGAGACCCAGTCCTTCCAGTTATAACTTTAAGCAATCAAATGTAAAACATATTTCTGGAAAGTCAGTATATGAATTTATAACCGCAGAGCTGGCATTGTGTTTGGTATGGCCTAAGTTACTCGTCTCCCAAGAGAAGTATGCAAGACAACCCACTGGCCTGGAGAAAAAGATAGAACTTGTATTTGCAATCATTTTATTATCAAATTTTCTACTTATCTTTCTACTATATATTTTTAAAATATAAAATGTTCATGCACTAGCACACATAAATAATTCACACACACACATACATGCATTGCAGGCATGTACTAAATTTTCAAACCCATGGGGTGATGAATCGTAACAGTATGGACATTGCTACTTTAGATTCTGTAATTAGGGAGCTTATAGAATATTTGGGGCTAGAAACCTATAAAGAAGGGGCAATACTCTGCCTAAGTTGGGAAGCACTGGGAAAGCATACATAGCCCCAAATCTGGTTGAGCCTAAAATATAGGTGATTGGAACTGGGAAGGTAAATGAGCCAAAAGGCTGAAGTCGTGGGAAAAGCCAGCAACCAGGGCGTGATGAATTACCATAAAGCAGGTGCTGCTTTATGGAACACTTAATGGATGTGGCCTAAGAGGTCAAAGCAAAAGGAGCCTAATGAGTCAGCGCCGAGGAGGGACTGAGGTAGGGGAGAACCCAGGAGCCTCCCAAGAGCGTAAGTTTAACCTGCCCGTTAGTCTAGCGCCCTAGGTGGTAACTAGTAAGTCTGTGCAGTAAAGGACCATAGAACAGATCAGTTTCAACAGGCAGTGGTAGAGGGAGGCCTGGGGTATGGAAGAAAGTTCTAGAAACCTAAAAATGAATCTTGAAAGACATACCACTCTGACATTAACTTTTCCCCCATGGTTTTGCAAAGAGGCCATTCTGCTTTAACAATATACCTGATCCCTGGCTAATTCTGGCCGATCTAGATTATTATATGATAAAGCATTATTCTTTAAAAAACCAAGTCTTTTGTCTCCTTCAGATGAAAAATAAACATACAGTAAGATTGTAGAAAAAGCAAATTAGAGTCATTTTAGCTTATCTGTATCTTTAATTGTGTGACTCCAAGTTTATGTTAACCATAAACAACAAATTCTTTTTCTCTGTGCATTTTGAAAATTTGGTTCCATTTCAAGCTTAAAAATCTGTCTTTTCTGGTACGTTTTGGAAGTTACATGTCCATAACCCCTAATGTGGCCCTGATCCATCCGCATGCAATGGTGAAGGTTATAGGAATTACTAAGAACAGAATAACACGGCGCAGAATGTCAGGTGTCCACTGAAGGCAGAGTTGAGAGCAGCTGTCAACACCTCCATGACAAGAGTGAGTTTCTCATGAGCCCCAACTCTGATAAAACTAAGGAAACCAAGGAAAAGTGACACAGAGGATCACAAAGACGGAGGGGACACTGTGGTCCCACACACCCCACCCCACCCCACAGAAAGGAGACGATAGACATGGGTTTCCTGAAGAAAGGCAGGCTGTCCCGCCATCTTGACGAGGCATCTTCACACACATTCTCCTTGGGGGGGATGCGAGCCGCCGCTGGAAACCAGTAACTGTTTCTGAAGGCTTTTTTTTTTTTCCCCAAATGTGTGAGGCTGTCTCTGAATTCTGACTGAACTTGCCCCATGTCCTCTCGAACTATGTTTTCTCAGCTCTAAAGTTTAACAACACCAAGTAAGCAGATCCATTTAAAGACCCCACTTGGAACACCACCTTCTGAGACAGAATTCTACAATTCTAGCTTGTTTGGACTCTTCTACCCTGAACCCCCGAACACACACAACACACACACACACTCTCTCTCTCTCTCTCTCTCACACACACACACACACACACACACACTGGAAGAGCCCAGAAAATTCACCTTTCTCCTTAAGCCAACCCTCCTTACCATCCAAATGCCAACTTGACTTAGAGTCAACTTCTAGGTTTGTGATCGTTACCTTTCCTTAATCCCAAAACAGCTGCCTCTCAGTGGTCAAGCTAAATCCATTTAGCTTATGTCTGACTTGTGGACATAAGTCTGGGGTGGAAAATTTTTTAAAAATAATTCTTATTCTTCAGAATAACCGGTAATAATGAGAAAGACTAATGGGCATTCATAAGCTGTTCTAAGACATATTTCCTGTTCTATGCATTATTCATTTATGCAAAGTACTGTAAAGGTACCAAATTCGCTGTGCATCTGGGCTGGAAAGGTCCCCGGACTCAAGACTACATTGGTATGCACGTTTCTGAGGCTTGCTTCTGTTTAACATTTTCATCACTGACCTGCTTAAGGGAGCAGAGAGCAAACTCATTAAATTCCTAGATGGGAGGGATGGCCAGAATGTTAGAGAACAGGATTAGAATTTCCCCAGCCCTTGCCAAATTAGCAAAACTGTCAGAGTCAAATACGTTCATCAGAGGCAGGCAGGGAAAAGTAAGCCGCCCAATGTGAGCTAAGTAGTAGCTGCTTATTTAGGAACAGAATGGAAAAGGATACAGATGCGAACACAGATGCACAGCAGGAAATAAACTTACCCAGTGGAACCCCTAGTGTTCTCCAGGGCCTTTGCACACCCCCTTAAAATGGCCCGTGGAGACATAAAGGCCCATCTGCAAAAGTTCTAAGAATTTCCGTGAGCTTTTCTTTCTCAAGGCACCTCTAGTTTCAGATTCCTTCTATCATGCAACCAGCCTGCTTTATGGTTCATTTCCCTGTTCGGCTCCGGTCTGGTTGCCCTGTAACAAACCGTGTCCCCACACAACAGACACAAAAACCATTTCCCTACTGTGAGCATATCCTGGCCTCCTGCCGAAGGGTCTGGCTCTGTCCTTGGCTGTCTTGACTCTTGTTCAATGCCTCCTGCAGCAGGGCATGGCTGAATCTGGCCCAAGAGTGGGTCATACCTTGCCAACCCCTGCCAGGCTCGGTTTCAGAATTTTTACCTTTTGAAGAGTCTTAGCAACCACCTTCTGCGACCACATCATTTTACACCTGCAGAAATCAGAACCCAGGAGGCAGAGCAACATTCACGCGAGTTCACAAGGCAGCTAAGCCAGGGTTAAAACCCCAAACTAGAAACAGAGAGCGCAGTTCCCAGGCCAGTACCCTGTCCGTTGCATCACCACGAGGCTATTTCCAGAAGGTTCTGTCAATGTCTGATTAAATGGCGGAGCCTCTTACAGAAATTTTTCCGCAATAACTTTTGGTGTAAGGCATCAGCCACATAATGTGTAATACACCGTCGTGTTGTCTTGCAACACCCCTCAGAGAGCCCAGGATGAACATCTGGCCTTAACGATCTGAGCAAGGGGGCAGACTTTGTGAAAACCAAAATAGAACCTAGAGTAGATGAGAAAGGAAGGCTGTGCACAAAGTTCAAAGGACAAAATTTTGTTTCGTTTAAATAAAGTTAAAGGTCACATACGATCCTCATGTAAGAGGAACATTCTCAAGAGGAGCGGTTGTTTGTCCGTCTCCTCTCAGAATGACGAGAACAGAACTGGAGTAGGACAGACACCTTGCTGGAGGTCTCTCTGTGAGTCACCGGAATTGCCAGCCAGCAGGAATCATAGAATTCCCTTAACAACTGGATCTGGGAACCGGCATCTTTCAGGGAGGGTTACGAGGAAAGGAAATTGACTAGTGATTCGCAAAGCCCTTGCGCTCTCATTAAGTCCCCTGCAAGCTGTAGGAGAGAGTCCTTCTCGGAGCCAACAGGGACACATTGAATCATTGTACTTAATGAGAACAGGACAGTATCTTCAAGAGGTTTGTGAAGTACCCAAAACAAAGTAGATTCTGTATTGGGGGGAAAAAAATTGTCCAGATTTCAAAGGAGCCTCCCAGATGACACTCCTTCACACTGGCCGGCATTTGGGGTAGCTCATGGAAAACCTGCCATTCAAGGTCAGGAGCCTGCTGCCCCTTCCAAATATGCCTTTGTAGACACGCTTGGTGCCTCTCCCTTGGTAAAGGCCAGGAGGGGCTTAATGTGGATGCTTCTCAATCCGCAGTTTGAAGACCAAGGAGCTTGGGACTCTACTTCCTTGAAAATCGGAACCAACCATTCCTGAGACTCTTAGGCTACTAGCTTTGAGAAAACTAAATTACAGCATACATCATGCTATTAAATAAAAATGGTATAACAAATAACATGGAGGACAAGGGGAGTTAGAGAGGAGAAGGGAGTTGGGGGAAATTGGAAGGGGAGGTAAACCATGAGAGACTATGGTCTCTGAAAAACAATCTGAGGGGTTTGAAGTGGTGGGGGGTAGGAGGTTGGGGAAACCAGGTGGTGGGTATTAGAGAGGGCACGGATTGCATGGAGCACTGGGTGTGGTGCAAAAACAAGGAATACTATTACGCTGAAAATTTTTTAAAAAATAGTATAATCTGGAGGTGCCTGGGTGGCTCAGTGGGTTAAAGCCTCTGCCTTCGGCTCAGGTCATGATCTCAGGGTCCTGGGATCGAGCCCCGCATCGGGCTCTCTGCTTGGCAGGGAGGCTGCCTCCCCCCTCTTTCTCTGCCTGCCTCTCTGCCTACTTGTGATCGCTGTCTGTCAAATAAATAAATAAAATCTTTTTTAAAAAATGTTATAATTTGTGCAAATGTCATTTCCAGAGGGTCCCTTTCATGAAAGACCTCCAAAACATTATTTGTCTCAAGCCACGAATTTTCCAGAGCCCCTTTGCCAAATGATGAACTCTTGGTAATTAGCATGTCTCATTATTGTAATTTTCTTCCAGATAATCCAGGAACCTGTACATCATGCACTACGGGGTATTACATGTAAGTCTGGCATTTATTTTTTTATGGCACTAACTTTTCTGCAGTTTAAGCAATACTGACTTAATCCTCAATCCAGTGATTAAAGCAAAGAGGCCGGGCAGCCAGAAGCGACTGTGCCCTGTCAGGCTATTAATGAACAATTCTTGGATTTAGCAATAACAGCCCAGCTGTTTTCTTGCCTCCAAAGGAGGCCCTCTTTTTCTTGGTCCTGGAAGTCACCCAACCTGACACTGGTGTCTAGGAATCTCGCCATGGGTTACCAGTTTTCAGACCCTGCAGTTCACGGACAAACCTTAATGACAGACCTGATCCTAAGCAAGCTATTTCCAAACATCTGCGTAGAGACCTTGGCCTTAATGGGAGTCAGAAAATCCAGGATGAAGCACGGTACTTTGTGAGCTCTGAATCACCCCCTGGGTAATGAGAGACACAGAGCACTAGGGTAAATGAAACACAGATTAACAGACACTCCCAAAGTTCTCCAATTCAACACTACAAGTCAAAGACGGGAGGCCTCCATGTCGCCTCCCCTTCCTTTCCTAGTAGGGCTTCCTAGGGCACACTGGTTCCTATCTTGGAAGAAAAGCAAAGAAGGTAGAGGAGAAGAAAAAGAAGGCCCGGATTATACATAAACTATATAATTCTTCCCTGTGACACTAAGAACCGGGTGATGGCCTCACCCCCAGTTCTTCTCTTCACCTTTCCACAAACTCTCATGCCAGGGACATGAGATTGACGTTACTCTCCAGAGCAAGAGACTGAAGGTCAGAGAGGCTGTGGGTTTCTTCACGTTACACCACAAGCCAGCAGGGGCGCGGGGGTGCGGGGAGGGCATCCAGGTTCAGGTCACCTCAACTTAAGTGGGCTGGTTCCTCCTGTTACCACACTGTCTTTCACCTCTAGCACCCTTGAGGGATGGTCATGGGTAGAAAAGATGCCGAGAGACGTCAGGAGCTTGGGAGGGAAAGGGGAGCCCAGAAAGCTGAAGCTTATCGCAAGGAGTCAGTTAGCCTTATCATTACCTAAGCTTATAGTTTTCATTCAACTCTGGTAGAGTAGCCTGGTGCTCTCTATATGAACTCTGTGTCTCCGCATTCCTGACCCACTGATTGAAATTACTGCTCCATGAACAGGGGAGGAGGGATGGAGAAGAGGCCCCAGACATGATTGCTGCAGGGTAGAGCAGACGAGTAAAGGAGCAGAAAGCCATCTGTCAGCATGTTCATAGCTGGCCTTTACCCACCACACAGCCCACCACACACCACCCTGGGCAGAGACGAACAGCAGACATGCAAACACTCTTTGGTGAAGACACATGGTCAGGGGCACAGAACGTTCCTCAAAGAACCGAGGAAGGAGAACTTAGACTCAAATAACCACCATGCAGAAGTGGGTGAGGCGGAAAAAAAAAGACATAGGTGAGGAATTCTCCTGTTAGGTCCTCATTCTCTGCGTCCCTCTGGTGTAATTGCATCCTTCCTCAAGCTGACAGGACAGCGTAGCCCTCCACCTGCAACTGCTTCCCCTGTCCCGACCCTGTTCCACCTTGTAGCCAGCCCGATGAGCCGCACCTGCACACCGCTGGCCATTGAAGGTCCCATAAAACCCTTGAAGAAACAAATACAGGGAAGGAACAAGCCCAGTACCCCTGGAGGTAAAGGACACCATGTTTGTTTCCAGAAACACACAAGTATAACCCTATAGAATGTTTTGTAACTTTGAAGATAGTGAATAAAACATTGTATCATTGAAGGTGCTAATGAAGAAATACAAAGCTTTCCTTGGATACTTCGTTGATGCTATGAAATTCACCAAAGGGCAAAGGTCAGCCTCTTCAAACGGACCCCTAATTCAGTGGAGTCTGGAATACAACATTTGCGGTGGCTGACTGGCTCAGTGGGCTAAGTGTCTGCTTTGGCTCAGGTCATGATCCCTAGGGCCCTGAGATCAAGAGTGTCACATTGGGCTCCCTGCTCAGCTGGGGCGGGTGGGACAGGGGGATGGGGGGGAGGGGCTTTCTTCTCACTCTGCTCCTCCCCCACTTGTGTGCATGCTCTGTCTCTCTCAAAAATAAATATGTAAATAAAAATTAAAATTAAAAAAATAAGTTTAAAAAAATGAGATACAACATTCTACTGTAGAATGAGAAGGGACAATACCTTTAAAAATATAAATACATAAAACCTAAGCCACTTCATTCTTAATATTAACAATCTAGCTTTTAAAAAAAAATAATTAAAAAAAAATCTAGTAGACATTTTGGTAAGTTACTTGAACTCAACACTGAGCTGTTTCCAAACGTCCATGTGGAGACCATGTCCTTAATGGGAGTCAGAAAATCCAGGATGAAGCACGGTACTTTGTGAGCTCTGAATCACTCCCTGGGTAACGAGAGACACAGAGCACTACGGTAAATGAAACACAGATTAACAGACACTCCCAAAGTTCTCCAATTCAGCTCTACAGGTCAGAGATGGGAGGTCTCCACGTCACCTCCCCTTCCCATTGCCATGTGACAGAATGAACAGATGTTCAAATCCCTGGCCTGACTTTGACTACGTATGGGACTCTGAGCCTGTTACCTTGAGACTCAGTTCCCCTATCTAGAAATTAAAGACATAATAACTACCGTCTGGGAATTGCATGGAGGTTGAAATGAGGACTTCACGCACCATCAGGACTCCATAAATAAACACTGGGACCCCTTTCCTACTCCCCAGCTCTTGAGAGCTGCCCTGATGTTGGGTCCTTGGGGTCCAGAGGGAAGTGGCCAATGACGTGTTTGGTGAGCACACAAAGACCAAGCTTTTGTCCTTGACATCCAAATATCTATACCTGTTAAAAATGACGTGTAGACAGAGGTCAGGATATTAAATTCTGGTGGTAAAGAGAAACAACGTCAATGTACCTCACGGAGGAAACCCTGCCTCCTCTCCTACCCCGTAGGTTTGAACAGCACTGCTACAAGACCTGTCCTGAGAAGACCTACAGAGAAGAATCCAAATGCAAAGCCTGTGAGACCAACTGCGGCAACTGTGACCAGCGCCAGTGCTACTGGTGTGAAGACGGCTTCTTTCTCCTGGGTAAGCCTGAGAGGCGCAGGGTAGCACAAAGGAAGAACAAGGCTCCCGAGCCCCACCCAGAAATGAGAGCACGCGCTTGACTGGTTTCACACTCTTCCTGTGCCTCTTGTCCAAGGATGGATTTTAATTTGGTTTGAAAATGAACATTAGCCGGCAATACTTCCTTCTGCTTCTAGTACTGAAGTAGAGTGCCTGTCGCTCATTAATGTCCGACATCGCCAAGCTGATGGATGCAAGAGGGACGGGGGCAGGGGGGTACGTTGAAAGTAAATGCCTTAGAACGAATCACCTAGAATATTTAGAACTATGACTCTTTCCTGGGGACTAAATCCACACTATATATCCCTAAGCACTGTTAAAGATCAACAAGATCCTTTGTCTTCAGTTTGGGTCTGATGGTTATGAAAGAACCATCCTAGGGGTCTTCCAGGGGAAGGACTACCGGCCAGAGGCTCCCGAATCTTTGCCGGATCAGCCCCCACTGACCTCCGTGGTTCTCTACGGAGATTTGTTTGATTCGTGCTTCTCCAAGGCCCTGAGAATCCAAAGTTCTTTACTCGATGCCCTTTACTCCTTCACCCCTGGAGCAAACTTAAATGCTTGGTTAAAAGCGGACTGACGTGTTGGATTGGAGACACGTTTCTTGGTTGAAATAAGCTGAGGCCAGTTTGGTTCCTTTAAAAACAAATGCAAACAAAGAACATTCCTGAGTTTCCCCTTGGCCTGTTTAGAACCCAGCCTTGCACAGGGCGCCCAGCCGAGCCCCCCAGGGGCCCACTCCCATGCTCCCTCTCTGTGTTCTCCCGCAGACGGCTCTTGTGTCAGGAGATGTGGCCCTGGCTTCTACGGCGACCCAGAGCTTGGACGATGTGAGCGCTGCCACCCGGCCTGTGAGACCTGCACCGGCTTTGGACACCAGCAGTGCAGCAGCTGCTGGGAAGGACAGCAGCTGCGGCAGGGGACGTGCGTGGGGCCAGCCCAGATCCAGGTGGAAGGGAGATTCTGGAATGGTATGTGCGGGAGAGAGAGAGAGAGAGAGCAGGTGTCCAGCCACCTTCTCTGCCTGTCTCCTTCCCTCCCTCTTTAACCCTTGCCTTTGGGATATCCTGAATGAGATGAAGGCATGACTGTGAACCAAAGCTTGGAGTCGGAGAGGGGGGCAGGCTGTGGTTGGTGGGTGTCTGACCTGGAGGGAAACCCGAAGTGCAACTTAATGGTTGGTGTGGCCCGTAAGTTCCTGTTTGGTGGTGGAGAGCTCGGAGCAAGTAAACAGAATCATGGGAGAATGGCCCAATGACCACTGTCTCAAAGATCCAGAATAGCTTCTACCTAAGGCAAAGGAGAAAGACTGGCAAAGGTGGGCTTTTTCAGTCACACAAGGAAGAACGACCCTTAAGAATTAAGAACTTAAGCTGAGACAGCCCATCTTTCCAGCTGCTGATTAGAACTTAGCATCATTCAAGCTTGCCTTTTAAAAGTCCCCCTCCAGGGGCACCTGGGCAGCTCTCTCAAGTTAAGCAATGGACTCTCGATTTCGGCTCAGGTCATGATCTCCAGGTTGGGAGATGGAGCCCAGAGTCCAGTTCCCTGCTAAGTGGGGAATCTGCTTGAGATTTTTCCTCCCCATCCCCCAGGGGCTCATGCTGCCTCTCAAGTAAAATAAAATAAAAGTCCCCCTCCGGCTCCAGATGGGGAAAGTGGGGATTTTGATGGGGGCAGGAGGGAGGGTGTGGGAGTTTGCCATCTAACAGTAAAGGCTTGCGTCTGCTCATCCCGACCTGCGTCTTCCGTATGGACTTCCTCGCACTGGAGCCAAAGTCACAGGCTTCCTTGCAAGGTAGTTACAAGCTCCAATGACCTCTCTGTGTCTCCGGGGGTTAAAACACAAAACCCTCTTCCGACTGGAAAAATCTGACTCACATTCTATGAAGAGATGCTCACGAAAACAAGAGATGTACTCCGTTTGATTTCGAGGCAAGGATTTATTAAAAAGGTCATTTCAGTGCAGCAACGGTGGAGGTCCGCTCAGGATACGACTTTGAAGGGCCGGGGAGAGGGAAAGATCCTGGGCAGGAGAGAGGCTCTCTCTGGGTCCACGGAGGGACATCCATGGCGACCGTCCACCATGACCGTGGCACATATGAGACTTAAAGGAAAAGCAGCTCAGGGACCATCACAAACCCAGCAGCCAAAGGACACGGAGAACACAGGCCAATTTCAGAGACATAGCTGGGAAGAAAATCATTCACTCCAGACTGGGATATCTTCCGTGAATTATAGCTGGACCCAAAGGCTGAAAACGGGTTTGTCTGGCATTCAGGCATTTAAGAGGCAGTGCAAGCCAAGAGGAAAATCGTCTGGTGCTGTGTTCCTAGCTCAGAACATCTGTATTTTATCTGGCATCCAGATGATGAAAAGGGCCAGGGAGCCAAGAGTCAGAGCAGATTTGATTCCCCAAATGATTACACGTCCCTTTCAACTGGACTACGCGCTCTGCAAGCAGAAATCAGGCCTTGATTGTTCCCTCTGTCAGAGCACCACACCCAACCCTCTGCATTTTCTACTATCAAAATATAGTGTTTTTGAAGAAGGGAAGGAATTAGTCCATTTGGGGATTCAGCACTAATAAGGGATTCAGGAAGCAGATGCGAATGCTTCTCATGGCCGGACAAAAGCAATAAAGTCAATGGCACGGCCGCACTTCTCTATGATCTAGGAAATCAGATATGCAGACTACTCACAGGGAAGAAGGACTCATTCTTCACGAAGCAAGGTACAGCTGGAGCTCAGCTTCCCAGGCAGAGTTTAGACACCACTGAGGTAGATAGTAAGTGAGAAATGCACTCCATAAAGTCCTAGACTCGAGTATTGGAGCCAATGCCTACAACTGTACCCTGACTTCTAGCTCTTAAAAACAAGAAGCAAAACAAACAAACAAAACAAGATTGGGGGTATAAGAGGTGGGCAGAAGTTTCCAGAAAACAGTCGCTAATTAGCCACCCCTTTACGATGATGCTAAGCAGGTTGCATTCACCCTGAGTCAACTCTGTGGGAGCCCAGACAATGTACAGAAGGATTTGAAAAGAACAGAGCTGCCTAGGTGCTCTCAGCAAGGTGGTACTGTGCTTTTCAACATGGTCGTGGATCCACGTAAGGAAGGTAAAACGGGACAAACTTCAGTTCACCCACACCACCCCCAGCAGAAACAATCAGCTCTTCTTTGCCTCCAAAGACTACGACTGCCCCCATTGCCTGTGCCAGCATGTGGGGAGGAAACAGCCTTAAAATAAAAATCCAACTGGACTTCACTGAACCCCTTTCTTAATAAGGTGGCTGCTCAGAATGAGAGGACCATCATTCTTTGTTAATTATGCACACGGTGGGACCACCTCCTGCCCCAGTCTGAGGATGGAGAGTTCCCTACACGTTGGACCATGCCCGGCAAGTCCTTCAGCCAAGGCTGAGTAATGTCCAAAGATGGCCACCCAACTCTGCTCCTCCTGCCAGCAAAGAATCACTCGCACGGAGTATGGATCCCTCCCAGATCCCCTGTCCTAGTCAGTAATATCCTCTGGAGATTCCTGTCCAATATCCCCGCATGGCAGCCACAGACCCAATGTCAAACAGGCCACTAATGGCTTCCACAGCGCCCCGGGCATCATAGGGTGACCATGGGTGAAAATGTTGGGGCATTCAGCTGCCTTCCTGAAACCATTGTGGGGAATGGAAACGGTTTACTCTATGACTGTTAAATCATTTGGATTCTCTTAAGTGGTTTTCCCCCCTGGTAGTGCCGGAAAGTCCTGGGAATAACTCCCGCACATTTCCCCTACCTACCTATTTCCATCATCGATGAAAACCGTGTTTGTAGCAGGCTCTAATGACATAGTCCGAGGGTAGTTTAATCTACAAAGCGCAGACGCGGGGAATTAACTTTTTATCTTTGACCACATCCTAACAATTTCTCACCAGCCTGTCTTTTGATCTTGATTCCTGTGCCCTGAGGAAGCCTGGACTCCCAGAGTCCCTCACAAACACTGAGCCATGTGCAAAAAATAAATCTCAGCGGTGGGGAGATACATTGCCTGTAACTGAATCTTCGAGAGCTTTAAAGATGCCATGAAAATCTGATTTTTAGAAGGACTTTGTAGATATATACAGTTGCCTCGCTTAGAAATGAGACCTCATTTTTATTTAATTATCCAATCAGAACTCAGTGAAGAAAACCCGGGACTCTGGATGAGGAAATGACTAAACCTTTGGCCCACAGGATCCCTGAAGGAACCACACATCTGCACTTGCCTTGATTGTCAAATACCCAGGAATTTCAATAGGGGATCATTAAACCATCGGCTATGATGGGAGTATTTACCATCGGCAAACACTACAAGTTTTTTGTCTTATGTTCCAAAAAGCCATTTTACCGGTACACCACTGCTTTGACTTCAACCAAACTATTTTAAAATCCAAATCAATTACAAAAAGTCTCTCTAGTGGATGTAGCCTTTAGAGATAAGCATACCAGGATTCAAATCCTGGGTCTGCTCTCTACTAGCTGTGTGACCTTGAACAAGTTACTCATTCTGTCTGAATCTTAATTCCCTCAACCATAAAATAAGAACATGGAACTACTTCAGCCAAGGTCATTCTGAGAATTAAATGGGAGAACACACATAAAGCTCCCAGGACTGAAGAGGACACAATAAAAGTTAAACTACTCCCCAGCCCTTTAACCTGACCCAGTTTTAGCGCAGGAAACACTAGTTCACTTTCAAAACAGTCTTCCTTGTCAAAATCAAGTATTTGGCGGGGAGGGGGTGCTAGATTGGGGAAGAATAGTCCCGAAAAGAAGGCTGCAAAGAGTGGTAGCTGAGATGCCTAGGAGCCAAGCCAAGTCCTTTATATCCTGTGTATAAAGATGTCCATAGCAGCTCCATTTATAATAACGCCCCCCAAATTAAGTGAATTATGTTTCATCCAAATACATCACCCATTTAAAATAGTGTATACAAAGACTTTTAGGAGCAAGAGAATATGCCTATAAAATTTATAATATCAAATTCAGGGGTGCCTGGTGGCTCAGTCGGTTAAGCATCTGCCTTCTGCTCAGGTCGTGATCCCAGGGTCCTAGGATCCTGGGATCGAGCCCCACATGGGGCTCCCTGCTCAGCAGGGAGCATGCTTCTTCCTCTCCCTCTGCCAGCCGCTCCCCACCCCCTGCTTCTGTGCTCTCTGTCAAATAAATAAATAAAATCTTTTATAAAATGCAAAATGTAGGATCGGTACTATATACAGAGAAGACATAAATGATTTCACACACAAACACATACATGGTTCTACTCCCACATTCAATATGAAGATGGGAAATCCACGTGCTGATGTCTACCCCACATTTCTGGGTGGTAAGGTGATAGGCAACAGTAACCTTCTTTATCTTTCTTGCATTAAAAAAATGAAACGCCTTTTTTTTTTTTTTTTAATAAAAAAGAGCCCGGGCCCACTGAAAGCCCATCTTCAGCGAGGAGCCTTCCACAGAAGCAACGGCGGAAGTTTCAAATCAAAAGAGGTAACAGGGAAATAGGGAAAAGACTATCACACCGAATCAAAAGCCTCTGTGACCTAGAAACCAACCAGAGAAGCTGAACTATAAGGAGCAAACGGGGGTGCGGAAGTCCTCAGACAAAAACAGAAGGAAGGTTGTAACCACAACTTGGTGCTCAGAGGCCAGAGACCGGGAGGAAATTCAGCCGTGAAGCTTTCTGGAACATTTAAGGGCGTTCCTGATGTGCTGACTAGTTATTTCTGGAGAGGCTATCAAGAAAAGCCTCTGTCCTTGCAGATCTGTAATAGCCTGGAAAAGCACCTTTGGCCTCCCTGGTCACTGCTGTAGTATTTGAAATAGCGGAGATTGGGGGAAAAAAAAAAATACTAAGCAGTCACCAACAGTTACCAGTTAGAAAAATGAAGTTTGATATACCCGTGCAATGGAATGCTGTGGAGTCACAAACAAGAATGAGGGGGTTCTTTATGTGCCATGGCCCCCCAAATACATTATTACCAGAAACAAAACAAATGTGATAAACAAGGTGAATAAATACAGTTTATATAGAAAGGATAGAGGAATGCTTTATGATATATTCCCTTTCTTGTTTTTTGTTTTTTTTTTTTTTAACTGTGTGAGTATTGCTTATTTTAAAGTTTGTTTTAAATAAAACTCCTGTTTTATATGGTTTAGCTATAGCCATTTCTAAAGGACAGACACTACATTTTCTTGGTCAAGGTGTTTTGTTTTTTTTTTCCCTTTGAGGTCTTGTCCAGTCCAGAATTTCTGGAGTGGAAAAAAAAAAAGAAAAACTATGATCAAAGTCAAATACTTGTGTTTAAATCACTAATCTTTTAGGATAAAAACCTGTGCCTGGCAATGATGATTCCCTTGCCCACACTTAATTGCTGTTCACTGTGTGTACAGAGCACCCTCTAGTGGACATGTGCCAACATTACAGAATTTTTATATCTAGCGTGTCCCAGTAAAATCTCAAGCTGCCAGAATGTGAGATGCGTAATTATAAATACATGTGTAGATATATTACAAAAATGTGAGTAAAATTCATTAAAACTCATTTCTAAATAAAAAAACTTCAGTATAAAAATGATAAAATCGGGGTGCCTGGGTGGCTCAGTTAAATGTTTGCCACCTCCTGCTCAGGTCATGATCCCAGGGTCCTAGGATAGAGCCCCACTTCTGGCTCCCCTGTATGGGGAACCTGCTTCTCCCTCTTCCTCCGCCCCTCCCCTCCACTCTTGTGTGCTCACTCATGTACTTTCTCCCTGTCTCAAATAAATAAATAAAATCTTTGGGGCGCCTGAGTGGCTCAGTGGGTTAAAGCCTCTGCCTTTGGCTCAGGTCATGATCCCAGGATCCTGGGATGGAGCCCCGCATTGGGCTCTCTGCTCAGCGGGGAGCTTGCTTCCCCTCCCCCCCGCCCCTGCCTGCCTCTCTGCCTACTTGTGATCTTTGTCTGTCAAATAAATAACAAAAATCTTTAAATAAATAAAATCTTTAAAAAAAAAAAGATAAAACAAAAAATTTCAAACCCTGAGTCAAAAAAACCTCAACCCCTGGCCTAGACATATAATAATATTAAAGACTGTCAAGGTGTCTGGTAAATATTATTTTGCTATTATTTTTTAAGAACTGCTCTCAGCCATTGTGTTTTTTTCAGTTCCATTGAAATACAATTGACAAGTAACATTGTCATGTTTAACAAGTATAATGTGATAGTTTGATATATGTATATATTGCAAAATGATTACCACCATAAGGTTAACAAATCCACCACCCCCAGTTACCTTGTGTGTGTGTGGTGAGAACTTTTAAGAGCTAGCCTCTTAGCAACTTCCCCATATACAACAGTATTAGCTGTAGACACCATGTACTTAATCATCTTACAACTGGAAGTTTGTACCTTTTGGTCCCCTTTCACCCATTCCCCCACCCCACCCTGACCCCTGGCAACCACCAATCTATTGTAAGAATTTGGTTTCCTTGTAGGTCCATGTATAAGTGAGATCGCAGAATATTTGTCTTTCTCTCTGATATATTTCGCTTAGCCTAATGCTCAAGATTTATCCATTTGTCGCAAATGGCAACATTTCCTTCCTTTTTATGGCCAAGTGGTGCTCCTTTATACACATACAGCACATCTTCTTGATCCATTCACCCATCTATGGACACTTCAGTGGTTTCTGTATCTCAGTTCTTGTAAGCAAGGCTGCAATGAACATGGGAGAACAGGTGTCTCTTCAAGACAGTGATTCCATTTCCTTCAGTTACATACACAGCGTGGAACGGCTGGATCGTGGGGTAGCTCCATTTTTCATCTTCTGAGGACCCTCCGCACTGTTTGCCACAGTGGCTCTCCCTACTTCCAGCCCAACAGCGGTGCACAAGCGTCCCCTTTCCTCCACGTCCTCACCGATGCTGGCTATGTCTTCTCCAGCCTCGCCCAGCTGACGGGTGTGAGATGCTCTCACACTGCAGTTTTGATCCGCATCTCCCTGGGGATTAGCGAGGAATGATGTTGGCAAGGGACCTGTTGCTCGCTCTGCCGCCTTCTCTTTAGAGTTAAGTGAGGCTGTCAGGTTAAAAAGGCCTTCGGGGAGACAGTGGGTCTTGTGGAGCCTCCTGTTGTCTTTTGCGGGAATCCTGTGCTGGGCTCTGCTCTGCCCAAGGCTAACTGAGCTCTTAACAGCTCTGCCCAGGTAGAGTACAGCAGTGAGTCAGTCTCCTGGAAAACCAAGGCATGTTTCTCCTTCCAGACTAGGAAGAGAACTGCCACTTAGCGTGGCAGGATGATCCTTTATGTCTATACGTCTGTATCTACCTCCATGCCAATCTGTCTACCTCCCTACCTGGGGATCTAGTTTCCTCAGTAGCTAATCTCAGCAGCTTAATCACCATGGCACCTTCGGAGAAACCAAGCGCTGCCTCCCAGGGCCACTCCAGGTATGGAACAGGGGAAGAAGAGATAGAACTAAAGCTGAAGCTTGGGAAATGGGGAGGTATGTACCCAAGGAGAAAACTGGGAGGAAGGAAGCAGAAGGTCTAGCATTTACTGAGCCGCTGTGTGTGTGCATTATACACAGTTTCATTTCATCCCACGACAGTTCTATAAGGGAACGATCATTGGCTCTCATGCTAGAGACATGGAAAATAGGACTCTCTGAGTTTAATTCCCGTATCCATGGTTACTCTCCCAGAAGTGGCACAGCTGGGCTCTGAAGGCAGGTGTGCCTACAGGACCCACTTTGTCAGACCGACTCTCAGAAGGGCTGGAAGGAGCCAGAAGCGGGGGGGGGTCATAAGATGCCAACAGTCAACTGGGGGTCCAGATCATTCCTATCCCACATCCTGAGCTAGATCTTCTTTTTCTAATTTTCCCCCGTGAGACTCATGCTGATTCCCAAGCAGCTCCTGAGGTTTGGTCAAGATCTCGTGTCCTCATTGAGTGATGTCACCAAGGCTGTTCTGTAGGTCTTTGAAATTGTCCCTCGGACTTGCTGACTCTTGGGAAAAGCCTGGCCATCGAAGGAGTGCTCTTGGGGGGAAAGGGAGACAGGAACACCTCCAATGTTTCCCAGGTGGATGGGTATTGAGCGGGAATGGCCTGCCTACCACCCAACCAACCAGAAAACTCGCAGGTGGGCCCATTAGGTGAATGTTTAACGATGATTTGAGAGGAGATCAATTTAGGTTTGCATTCCACAGTGGTCACTCTGAAGAACACAGAAACCCAAACATTGACGGATTTTGAAACCTAGTTCCAAAGAACAAAAAAAAAAAAGGAAAGAGAGGAGGGAAGGAAGGGAGGGAAGAAGGAAAAGAAAAAGTTACTCCACAAAAGACACAATGAATTCTGTTATCATCTTGGAGTGAAGAGAAATGGTCATCTAAGAATCTTGGGGAAAGAAGTGATGACCTTCAACTAGAAAATTCTTTCATGATGCATGCCCACAAGCACACACTCCCACAGATTTTTAGTATGTGGAAGAAGGAACACCTGTTAGATTAAACAACCCCATTGTATTTAAGGCTATCCTGTCACTGGAAGTTTGCAAACCACGTCTTAATGATCAATTGGAAGGAAGAGAAAAAAGAATGAAATACATGAATAAATGAATAAAGTCCACTGCATGGGTAATGAGTGGGCACCAGAGTTTAGCCAATGCAAAACTGAAGGGATTCTACTCTGGGCAAGGAAGACGAGATGACCCATGAGATCCTTTCCAATGCTGTAACACTGACTTCTGGTTTCTGTCCCTACACAGACATTTTGCGAGGACACCAACCTTGTCATCCTTCTTGTAAAACCTGCAATGAGTCTGCAACGCTGTGCACTTCATGTCCAAAAGGTCAGTGTGGAATGTGACAGGAGGTGGCCGTGGCCCAGACACTTCACTGTCACTCATGTGACATCTTTATGTAAAAGCTTTGCAAGACTTGATCCAGTTCTCACTGTTCCTATCACAATGGCTCCTCTGGGAAAATGCCAGGACCCAGACAGTGACCTCTAACAAAACTGGTATTCAGGGGCACATGGCGGGTTCAGTCGGTAGAACAAGAGACCCTTGATCTTGGGGTTGTTAAGTTTGAGTCCCATGTTGCGTATAAAGATTACTTAAAAATAAAATCTTAAACACACACACACAACTAGCTTTCAAAGGACCAAAAAAAGAGAGAGAGAGAGAGAAAAGAAAAACATCAGTGTTCTTATCCAAAGCCATGATGAAGTTATCTGTTGATCTGGCCACAGAATTTGCTGGGTCTCTGGGTACCTGACATTTCTAGAGGTTCCATTACTCTTGAAAGTGCATTAGCCAAAACAAGAGAACTGAGGGTAGAGATTCCGGGGGAGGGTAAGTACCCTACTTCTTCTTTCCTTCTTCATTTCTGAATTTAGGGGAGAAAAAAACCCAAGAACGACTTTTTTTTTTTTTTTTTAAGGTTTGTTTAGTTGATAGAGTGAGCAAGAGCAGGGGGGAGGGGCAGACGGAGAGGGATAAACGGGCTCCCTGCTGAGCAAGGAGCCTGATGTGGGGCTCAATCCCAGGACCCTGGGATCATGACCTGAGCCAGAGACAGACGCCCAACTGACTGAGCCACCCAGGAGCCCCATCCAAAAAACAACAACTTAACAGGTCAACAGATGCACTGCTTCTTCGTCTGTAATAACAAAACATCAGAAATAGCAACTCCCCTGAATTCGGGGGATATTTTATGAACATGGTTCATTAACAGTGAGAATTTAAGAATTAAAAGTGACCATGAAAGCGGTCATGGTGTTGGAAGGCGCAGTGTTCATTGTGAGATGATGCAAACTTTAAAATTTCAGGTGTGCCATGACTCTACCCATACAAAATATAAACGTTTACAACCAAAAACTGAAGGAATTTTCTTAGGATTTGGGAATGGAGGGTGATTTTTACAATAGTTTTCTTCAATAATGATGATATCTGATTTTTTTCAATTAAAAATAAATAGACAGACCATCCACGCCAGGTGGTGCTGGATGGAAGAGTTGCCACTGGGTTAGCAGCCTAGAAGGAGAGGCTTCCAGAAGCAGAAAAAAAGACTCTAGAGGGCTGCACATGTGCCTTACACGTGGACAAAGGTGTTAACAGACCACCTGGACAGAAGGAAGCCCCTCGAGACCTGCACCAGTATCAGCAGGAAAGTAAAAGAAACAGGGCAAGAGGGCACTTGGGTGGCTCAGTCAAATAAGTATCTGTCTTCAACTCAGGTCATGATCTGGGGTCCTGGATTGAGTCCCACATCGGGCTCCCTGCTCAGCAGGGAGCCTGCCTCTTCCTCTCCCTCTGCTCCTCCCCACCCCCATTGTGCACTCACACTCTCTCTCTCTTTCTCTCAAATAAATGCTAAAAACAGAAAGAAAGAAACAGGGCAAAACCTCTGTTGTCAATATCCTTTCTGGCCATCAAACTGAATGTGGGAGACCGAGCATCACTAATAATTACTTGCGATTGTCAGAAATAAATATTCAACATCCTTGGGTCTTTGCAGAGGCTCCAAAAAGGAGTCTGGGCTGCTGTGGGTCATCTGTCCTTTGTGCAGACACAAGTGCCCTTGGACCAGACACAGGATGACCGTCTGTCCACTCTGCCTTCTTCCCTGGGTTTCTAGGCACATATCTGCTGGCCCAGGCCTGTGTCTCCTCCTGTCCCGAAGGCACGTGGCCCTCGGCGAGGAGTGGAAGCTGCGAGAACTGTACAGAGGACTGTGTCTCCTGCTCTGGAGCTGATCTCTGCAGAAAGTGCCAGACATCACCAGACCTCCCTCTTGTCCTCCACAAAGGCAGGTGCTACACCAGGTGCCCTGAGTAAGTGTCCCTCTGCCTTTCTCGTCCGGCTCTGGTTCATTCCCCTATGGCATCTGGAGGGCAATTCCTTCTTGCACCAGGAACACCTCCCCATCCCCAGTGACAGAGCCTAGGGATGTGTCCCCCTGTGACTCTGACTGACATCACTATTGGCCATAGCAGTCAAAGCCTGCACACTTCTCCCTCGGGACTGTGATATGTACATGTTTTTGACTTTTGTGAAAATACGCGTTTCTTCCACCTTGTGGCTGTGATCAACAGGTTGTCTTTCTTCCATGACCAAAGTTAAGGCTGTGAATACAGGAATCTCTTCTTAAATGTTTGCAGCAGGTGAGGTGTGAGGTGTAAATAATAAATACAGAATCAGACCTGCTAAATTATTTATTGATTCCTCGTGGTTTCCTCAGTCCTCTGGTTTATAATTCCTTTTCTCTTCCCATCAATGGTTCCACCTCCAGGATGTAAAAAGGAAGTGGAAACGATACTTGGAAAACTGCAACTGGGAACTTCCAGGGACGAGCAACATAAATTCTAAGTAGAATGACTGAGACAGTGTGGGGTTTGTCATTGCATGGACCAAAAAGCTTAAAATCCAGCATTGGCTACCTCAGTGGCCAACACTTCGTTAAAGACTCATAATCTTTCCGTTTTGTTCTTGTATCTTCTTCAGCTTGTCATCCCCTGAGCCCCGCTGTCTGCCCTGTGTCCAAACGTCACCACCCTACACAGCAATAACCAGAGACAGAAAAGGGCACGTTTCCCCTCCTCCATCTCTTTTCCAAAGGAAAGAAAACCGACTTCCCTTCACATCTCATTAGTCAGAATGCATCCCTTCCATGCTCCAAAAATGATCTCTGGCCAGAAGGATAGAAATAGAAGGATCAGTTTCTGCTACACAAGATTCACCCCTAACACCCAAATAAAATCAAACACTGACAGCCAGGAGGACTAGAAAGAGGAAGGCGAGGAGGGAGTTTGGGGGAGTGACCAATAGGATCTATTTGGGGGAATTAGAAATTTCCCACTGATTAAAAGAACTTGACGCTAGAGCTACAAGACCTATGATAGAAGTAGATCATTAGTTTCTGGATCTGCTACTGAGGCAGATCCTGTAGGTGCAAACACCAGTCAGGGTACTCGAGAAGCCTCCAGGCTAGTGGAGAAGCCAAGCGTATTCAATTCTGTTCTGCAGATAAATAGTTTGCATCTGCTAGATGTAAGAATTGACAGCAGAAACTTAGTTATAATCAACTGAAGGTTCTCCATGTGGTCCCAGAAAGCTAAGATACTACTGTATAAGGGAGTCTGGTCTTAGCTTTCATCCAGATACAATTTGGTTCCCTCTCTTCTACTAAACTGCTTCTTCTCCGATTTTTCTTTCGTAAAACTACATCAGATACATAAACCTATTCACCCCTGTCCTATTTCTTCCTGATACATTCAGTACATTTTTGTTTCCTCAATAAATACAAGAAGGGCTGAAGGAATGAGGAAACAGATGTGAATGAGTTCATTAAAACGTCAAGTAAAGAGGCCGTATAGGATGCCTCATGGGCACTGATTCAAAAAGGACTCTAACAGATGAGTTTTGCTACAATTATTCACCCTTCCATGGATCTGTGCCCTCTACTTGTCACTTTGCAGCAACTTCCACAGATGTTGAATGGACTGCCTTGATCTTGACTTAAGGCAAGTTCATTTGCTTTGGCCAACGGGTCGTTAGCGGAAGGGAAGCAGAGCTTTACAACCTGTTTGCCTGGATGAACTTGCCCTCTTATTCTCTGTCATGGCTAAGAGAAGAATGTGCCCAGGAGGTCCCTGTGCCAGGGAAGATAAAGGGACAGAAAGACCAGAATCCAGAGTGTACCTTGGGGTGCAGCCTCCGTCCCCGAGAGTACATGCCTGAGTAGTACACATACTGAGAAGCACATGTGCTTCCCCTACAAATGACATATGCCTCTTTGAGCACAAGCTCAGCCTAGATCTGCCCTCCCACAGACACACGGGTGATGAGTTTGGGGATGTTTTGCACTATTATGACAACAGCTGACAAATAAAATGAAAATTGTAGAAAACAACTGTAATAGACACCTAGGACATCGAAGTCCATATCCTCTACACTGGTTTGTGATTTTCCCGCTTCTGCACATTCCAGCTCTTTCCTCCAGCTTTTTTCTTCCAAGGAACTATCTATATTTTCCTCATCTTCCAAATCTATTAGAAAAGTTTAAGGTTTTCATATTTCCTGTGTTCGCCAGTCAGTGTTAATCTATGGCATGATAACATAATCACTGAGAGGTCCAATATATACGGACACCAGACTCCACCTGGAAGAAAGTCAGTCACAGAAATATATCCTCCTGTATATTTGTAGGATATGTTTGTGCTGTAAATATGTTTGACACTGTGTGCAAACATTCTACGCGTGTGTTTGGAAGAAGCCACTGGAGACTGGCTGAGAGGAGCCGCAAACAAAAGTGGTTCTAATTTTATAGGGCATTAAACCTTCTGAGCTTTTTAAAAGTAACTTTTTAACTTAATTATAAATGAACATTTTATATTAAAGACTAAATTCAGTCATTTAGTAAATGAAAATTTTTCATTAAAAATGTATTGGATAAAAAGCATTTTCTACTCTAACATAAGGCTCTTATTTTAAAAAAAGGAATAAAGAATAAAAACCAGGGGCGCCTGGGTGGCTCAGTGGGTTAAGCCTCTGCCTTCAGCTCAGGTCATGATCTCAGGGTCCTGGGATCCAGCCCCGCATCGGGCTCTCTGCTCAGCAGGGAGCCTGCTTCCCTCTCTCTCTCTCTGCCTGCCTCTCTGCCTGCTTGTGATCTCTCTCTCTGTCAAATAAACAAAATCTCTAAAAAAAATAAATAAATAAAAATAAAAATTGGGAGATAAAATAGGAAACCAGAACGTGGCTGAACTATACAGACATTAACAAAAGTGGCTTTCAAACCAACCACGTTCACAAGGACAATACCTATCCGTTTCATCTTTCTCTTCCCAGATGTGATTTCTGACCCCTCCTTCCTCTGAAAATCTGACCGCCTCGTTCTCCCCCCCGGTGGCAGCCGCCTTCCCAGCGTCTTCAGTCCCAAGACCTCTGCCACCACGCGGGACTCATTTCCCCAGCCGGAAAGCATCTCCACTTGTGCTCTGTCTTCCCCACAGGGGCTTCTACGCAGAAGACGGCACGTGTAAGCCCTGCAGCTCTCCTTGCAGAACCTGCAAAGGAAATGCTACCAACTGCCACTCTTGCCAAGGAAGCCTCACCCTGCACCAGGGAGCATGCCGGGAAGCCTGCCCCGAGAGGCACGTGGCCGTGGAGGGGGTGTGCAAGGCTTGCCCTGAGATGTGTCAGGACTGCATCCATGAGAAGACGTGCAAAGGTATGTGGGAGCATCCCAGGGGAGAGTGTGGCTCTCCCAAGCCACCACTCCTGGGGACCGACTGTGGCAGGGGGTGGGGGCGGGGGGGAGGTGTCCATGCAAAATGGAGGGAACCAGTCTCCTTACCTTTACTGAAATAGATCCACCTCCCTGCCCATCACTGAGGAAATCAAGGGCGGGATTAAAGCCTCGCCATTACGGATGCTTCAAGCAAAGACAAACGATAAAGTCCTGCTTCTGCGGGATTTCTCCCACACAGGGGTCCGGAGCACTTAGGGGTCATCCCAGCTGCGGGAGATCCAGACAAGAACCCAAAGTTCCTGCCTCTTTGGGCACAAAATCTCATAGGGAGGCTGATATTAAGGAAACAGAGGGAGCTAGAGAATTGCAACTGTTATAAAAGATACGAAAGAGAAGTTCAGGCGAAGACAGTCGGGCTCAGGAGAGCACTCTGGCTAGGAGTTCCTTCTCGGGAATTATCCCCACCACAAGCTAATCTCCTCTCCAGAGTAAGACCCATTGAATGATGCTGTTCCATTGAAGGGATTCTCTTGGTGTGACCCAAAGTGTTTTCTTGGTTTCCCCCCAAATAAGAGAATGAAGACAAATGAAAGAAACCCACAATGCATTCCTCCCACTGAATAATTATGTGTATGTCACTGGTCGACCCTACCAGGGAATGAAAACGTCACTAATGCAAGAATATTTAAACTGCTTTTGCACTGAATACAGCCTGCGTTTCAGGTTTTCACCAAAACCTCCAGCATCTCCTCCACAGCTGGTCTACCCCATCACTGCAATTTTTTTACACCTCTAAGGGGCAGATCATTTCGGGCTGTAAACCCAACACCAGGTCATTAGGCCACTGTATGTGGTCTTCTCTCCCAAAGCTTAGAGACATGAGGCTTGGCACGGGACACACACATGGGACACGGAACACTCTGGTAGAAGGAGCCAGTGGGGTCTGGACAGGCTAGCCCACTCCAGAAGGAAGGGATTCCTCTTTCCTGTGCCCGAGGGGGTAACTGGCTGTTTCCTACTCCCTGCAGAGTGTACGCCTGGGTCCTTCCTGTTCCAGGGTATGTGTCATCAGTCCTGTTCCCGCGGCTTCTACAAGGACACACGCGAGTGCATCCCCTGCCACGAAGACTGTCTGGAGTGTAGTGGCCCCTCGGCGGATGACTGTGACCTCTGTGCCGAGCCATCCCTGGTTCTCTACAATGGACGGTGTTTGGACGAGTGTCCAGGGGGAACCTACTACGAGAAAGAAACTAAAGACTGCCGAGGTAACAGCTTGCACGAGTCTGACCAGGCATCCCCAGGGCACCCGCCACCACAGGGGTGTCTGCTGAGACAAAGCACGTGTTGGGGTCTGCGGGGTTCCAGCCCCAGAGCTGTCATCCCACCTGTTTCCCTCCTGCTCAAGAAAGCAGACTTTTGAATCTGCTCTAATTCATTATTAATTTTAAATGAATTGTTCATCAGCTTTGACCAGGTAACTTTTCTTGAGAACAAGTCAGGTTGACCCTCCTCCCAACACAGGCTCTGATCCGCTGATCAAAAAGAACTCCCGTGTGAAGCTTCACAGCAGACACGAACCTTCACAAGTCACCCACAATGGAAGTGTCTTGGTTTTTTTTCTTTAAAGATTTTATTTATTTGACAGACAGAGATCACAAGTAGGCAGAGAGGCAGGCAGAGAGAGAGGAAGAGAAGCAGGCTCCCTTCTCAGGTAAGAGCCTGATGCGGGGCTCGATCCCAGGACCCTGGGATCATGACCTGAGCTGAAGGCAGAGGCTTTAACCCACTGAGCCACCCAGGCGCCCCTGGTTATTTTTCTTAAACCTTGAAGCTGCTAAAGGGTGACAGCAGCATAGGGAAAGCTGTGCCTCGGCGGGCAGGGGGGGTGTTCTTGGGTCCTTCATCAGTTTGCTCCCTGTGGTGACCCTCCATGGTTCCTCACCTGCTTCAGCAGGTCCTGCCCTGGGACACCCCCCACACTCAGCGCATCAACCCCAACCCGTTCAAGGCGGGATCTGCTCTCGTTGATGCCTCCTTATGTTTTCCCTAGGTATCAACGGTTGGCCTCAGAACAGGAAAAATAAATGGTCTATCATGAGAATTCTCCATTAAATGAATCGCCCTGGGCTAACCTCTACAGAGTCCCAGTGATTCGCTCCCGCTAGGCAGCCAGGGCTAACTTGGCCCGTGTCGCCACCAAGCAGGCACTGTTAGGCAGCTCTGCAGAGGTGGTCCCAAAAGCAGTGGGAGCTTAAGGGTGAGCGCCTGGGGTGGGAGAAACCTGGGGCAGCCACGTTCTAGAATGTACTCAGAAGAAAGATTTCCATGTCATAGGACGTGGGGATAGAGCAGACTCCTGACAGCTTTCTGCTCCAGCCCTAGGATCTGGATTCACCTCATTGTGGGTTTGATGTAAGACACCCTTTAGTGTCCGTGCCCCCGCAGGAAAGACCATGGACTAGAACACGGTAGAAGACGGGGCCAGAACACGGTAGAGCTTGGGGCCAGTTTCCTTGAGAAGTTCAGCAACTCAGCCAAAGGCTGCCATGCCATCGTGCTTGTACCTGGACAGAAACTGAGGCTCAATTTGTGGCCTTTCTCTGGTGTTCAATAATACTGGTGATTTGCCATACACAGAACTCTGTGGGCCTCATTTACTTGACTTACCTGACTTAGTTTTCTCATTGAGAAAGGCCCTTGGTTCCCATCCCTGGTTGCCCATTAGAATTACCTGGGGAGCTTAAAAAAAAATACACACACACACATATAAATATCATATATATTTTTATATGTATTATATAATAAATATATTAGTTATATTTAATAATATAATTATATATTTTATGTTATATATAATATATTTATGTGTTTATATATGTTATATATTATATATATTTTATTATATATGTTATATATTATATATATTTTATTATAATATATATAAAGTAAAATATATTTTATATATTTTTATATATTATATGATAAAATTATATTTTTATTTTTATATATTTATACTTAAATTATATATAACATATAATATGTATATACATATAAATTATATTTAAATATATATTAATTATATATAAAAAATAAATGTTTTATATTTCATATATATATGGATGTCTGGGCTCCCCTCAGACCAACTCAACTGTTGGGAACTAACTTGAAGGCTCTCCCTGCAAGGCAATGACTCCTTCCACCAGTCCAAAGTCGGGCTGAGGGAAGCTGGTACTGGAAGAAATAGGGTGACCACTGGACTTTCCAGAGAGAAGAAATAAAGGACCTGACCTGAAAAATTAAGATTTAGGTAGATGTAGAGAAGCATCCAGAAGTAAGAAGGATCTCTCCTAAGAAACACAGGACTTGGGATCCATTTGGGTCACCCAAATTATCCTCTATGAGACAGCATAGGCACCTCTAAGAATCCCACACCTATCCCAAGGCACTGGGGCAGAAATAGCAGGAGCTCTGATTAAGCTCCCGGGTTCAACTCCTAACCCTGCCCAGTTCCAGCCAAGTGACTTGGTACCTTCAGCCTCAATGTCCTGCTCTAGGTGTCTATTCTATTCAGTAAACACTCATTGGGGGCCTCCCATGTGCTGTGAGCACATGGAAGACAGACCCTAAAAAAGTAAGTCAAAAGGAAAAGTTAGTCAGGGCAGGGGAACAGGAAGCTGGGCAGGATGGAGTTGAAATTGGAGCAAAGGCAGCCTGAAGACATCATTGAAAATATAATCCACACATATATCGAGGAGAACCACACAGATACTCTAAGCAGAGGGAACAGCAATGGCTAAAACCCTGAGGTAGGAATGAACTGTTTTGATTTTATCTGTCTAACAAAAAGTTACTGAGTGCCTGTTACAAGCCAGGTCCTCTCAGTGGAATACAAGAGGCCTTTTTTTTTGATCCACAGGTTATTACAATACATCCCAACAACTGTTGTTAGTGATAAGCTCAGGGTGTTCTGGGAGGGTTAGTGGAGGACGGCAATTAGAGTTATGGGGTGAGCAGGCCACAGACCGGTGTGTGACCACACCCCAGAACTGCTTATTATTCTGTTGCAATTCTGGTAACTACACTGAGTCTAATATTTCTGGGTTTTGCAAGAAGGGGTTCTCTAGATATTACAGAGAGAAAACAGCCATTTTTCTTCTCATTTGACAAGAATGCTCTACCCAGAGTCCAAGGGCTCTACCCAACTTGGTGGTGCCCCATGCCCTAGTCCAGAGTCCTAGAAATCTCTGAAAGGAAGAAGAAAGAAGTGTGAACACGCCTTCCAGGTACACCCTGATCCTCTCCCCCTTGGTCTTGTACCCATAGATTGCCACAAGTCCTGCCAGACCTGCTCATCCCCTGGGACCTGTGTGACCTGTCAGGAAGGTCTTCTGGTCAACCACCACGGGGACTGTGTGCCTCACAAGGAATGCGCTCCCTCTGAGTACTGGGACGTACAGGCTCTGGGATGCAAGCCCTGCCATGCCAAGTGCTTCCGCTGCACAGGGCCTGCTGAGGACCAGTGTCACGCCTGCCTGAGGGACCATCTTCTTCTCAGTGAGTCACGAGTCCTCTGAGGAGGGCTCTCTCCTCCCTTCCATCTGGGAAACTACCTTCCATATCACCTGGCACCCAGTAGATGTCTTTCTAATTTTTCACTTCATATTTGGAAAATTCTCAAAACTACAGAAAAGACAAAAGTACAAAGAACGCCACACATGTGGCCTTCACCCACCTCGCCCACTGCTAATGAGATACCCCGTTTGCTTTATCATTTGTGTGCTCGCTCTCATCTCTTTCAATGTGTGTGCCTACATCTCCACAATAAATTTCTTCCCGACCATCTGGGGATGTGATATACACAGCGTGGCTCCTTTTGCATAAATACTTTAGTATGTATTTCCTACAACTAGGGATGCTTTTTGACATAGCAACTGTATGGCTGTTGATGCAAGTGAATTTAACATCAATACTTCACTGTATCACTGTATCACCTGAATTTTGGCAATTTCCCCTGAGAACAGGATCCCGTCTCCAATCAGGTATTGCTTTCGGTTCCCGGGTCTCTGTAGCCCCTTTTAATCTGAATCATTTCCACAGACATTTTTTTTCTATAGCATATTGACGATTTATTTTATTATTTTTTAAAGATTTTATTTATTTATTTGACAGACAGAGATCACAAGTAGGCAGAGAGGCAGGCAGAGAGAGAGGAAGGGAAGCAGGCTCCCTGCTCAGCTAAGAGCCCGATGCGGGGCTCGATCCCAGGACCCTGGGATCATGACCTGAGCTGAAGGCAGAGGCCCAACCTACTGAGGCACCCAGGAACCCCTAGAATATTGACAGTTTAGAAGAATACAGTCCCTATCCCTCTATGGGAGTCTGTGTGAGGTTTCCCATGATTAGACGGAGATGATGCTTTCCAGCCAGAATACTCCACAGGTGATGTCATGTCCTCCTGGAGACCCAGGATGTCACCTGCCCCTCACCGGTGACACTGTGGTCACCTGTTCAGAGCGCTGGCCAGGGTCTCTGCTGCTTAGTTACTGTTTTCCATTGCAAGTAACAAGCAGTGTGTGGAAAGACACTTTACAATCATGCAGGAAAGCAGCCCCTCATTAAAATTTCCCCTGGATTTTGCATCCAGGGATTAATGAATCTTCCTGAAGTCTGGCGTGGTCTGAGGTTAGCTACCTCCAGCAGATCATACTGGAAGGTTATCACTGATGTGAAGCAATGCCCTCAGGTTTCCAGGTGACTGGGCTGACACAGGTATGCAAGAAAGAAAATGAGACAAAGTTCACTCAGCTAGAAGAAGGAGCAGTGGAGGGGTGTGGGAGAGAGGGAAGGAAGAGATGAATATATTGAAGACCTAGAAAGGGTTAGCATCTATCTCCCTAACCCAGGAAACCTGAGAAGCAAGACACTCCCAAGGACATCGTCTCACTCCTCCTGCACCCTCCCGTCCCGCCTTAGTGAACCATGGCGCGCGCAGAGGAGGTTTTGCAGACACACGTCATACCTGATACCAAAACAGACTCTTTTCCTTCCTTGGCAGACACGACCTGCGTGCAGGACTGTCCCGAGGGCTACTACGCTGATGAGGACAGGCACCGATGTATCCCCTGCCACAGCTCTTGTAGGACATGTGAAGGGAGACACAGCACACAGTGCCTCTCCTGCCACCCAGGCTCGTTCCAGCTGGAAAAGGAGTGCCTGCTGCAGTGCCGGGAAGGGTAAGGCGCTCAACACACGCTTCCCCAAAACCCCAAAACCACTCCAGGCAGCACTATCAGCAAACCCATTTTGCAGATGAGGAAGCTAAGTTATATAACACCGGGTTGAAGTCTCAGTGCTAGGAAGAAATAAAGATGAGAGTCCACCCAAAATCTACTGATCTCTAAAGGCTTTCAGCTGGGGCACCTGGCTGGCTCGGTCCATATGGCACGTGACTCCTGATCCTGGGTTCATGAGTTTGAGCCTCATGTTGGGTGCAGAGATTACTTAAATAAATAGATATCTTAAAAAAAAAAAAAGATTTCAGCTAGTTCATAGTAATGGACGAGTACACAGGAGAGGCAGAGTGACACAGTGAGATAACATGAAGGGTCGATCATCAAGTTAGAATCACGGGTCACACTTCGTTACTAATTTGAAGGTATAGGCAATCACAAGGCAGAGGCAAAGCATTCTTCCCTTAGAGAAGTCTGAAACCATAAATATAGGTTCTTCTTCTTCTGCATTAGGATTTGTTCTGATCAGATTTAGGTGAGATCTAAGCCAGGTATGCGGAACATCAATTTTACAAAGGGAAAAATTTCAATTAAATATTCCCACTTACACGCCACCAATGCTCCAACCTCCCACGCCCCCATAAATCTACAACGTACACGTTTAGGTGCCCTAAGCAACCTAGATACATAGATGTATCCTCCTAAAAGCACGTCACAAATAAGAACTCTATAATTTTTTTTGCTAGGAGAAACTATAAGTGTATTTATCACAAGGTCTGATTCCAGCATGTTTGAAAGAGGATTTGACGGAGTCCTCCCTTTTCTCCCCCAGGAATCTCTAGTACAGAGAAAGACGTAGATTACGGGCCCATTGCTAATTCTTCCTTCCCAGTCAGTCACCTAAGGCACTGAGGGTTTCCAGACCCAAACTGAAAGGCTATCCCCTAGGACTTTCCCCAATGCTTCTGCCCACATGAGACCTCACGCTTCTTTCCTTCAGCTCTACAGCAACTCCTGCCTGCACTGTGTGCTGAACCCTGCCCTCATCCATTCACTCATTCATTCCACACATGTCTGATGAAGAACACCTTGGATGTAAAATACAAAGATTTTGACCTTCAAGAATTGGTCCTTCCGGGGGCGTCTGGGTGGCTCAGTCAGTTAAGCGTCTGCCTTCGGTTCAGGTCATGATCCTGGGGTCCTGGAATTGAGCCCCGCATCAGGCTCCGTGCTCAGCGGGAAGCCTGCTTTTCCCTCTCCCTGTGCCCCTCCACCCCGACTCATGCACGTGCTCTCTCTCTCTCTCTCTCACTGTCTCTCAAATAAATAAATCTTTTTTTAAAAAGAATTGATTCTTCCTATATATTTCTTACCAAGAAAATTACAAACCTGGAAAAAAAAACCTCTTATTTTTACACATATTACTGCAATACTCAGCACAAAGTCACACACCTCAGCCCTCAAAAACACCAGCCGTACGGATCCATGAACAAAAGGCCATCCCCGACAAGGGCAGGGAGAGGGCCACGGGGCTTGGCCTTTCCTCTTCATTCCAGAAAGTGCCTGAAAAGATCTGGATCCAATGAAAGGAATCTCCATCTCCCTCAAATCAAGTCATTAAACGTTTTTATGCACAAAAGGGTATAATCCTGTCATCTAAATAGTTGTAGACCATCAAATTAAGAAGATAACTGTTCTGTTGTGAAGTATGTGAAGTTACCCACTGGGAAGAGAGGCACGAGTTGCCATAAATTTCTTTAATGAGGAACAAATGGGATATTAATGAGGTATAAGTGGAAATATTTAACAGAAATGGTTCCTTGTACAAAATCACTGTTCCACGCACATTGCCTCAAGCTCATATTAAATCTCTTTACCTTGGAAAGGCAGGTATATGATCCTCTGAACCCTTTACCCACACACATGATTTTTTGTGTGTTTAACCTCAGAACAGGTTTTTTTAAAATATTGTATTTATTACTTTTGAGAGAGAGAGAGAGCACAGACAAGTGGGAGGGAGGGGCAGAGGGAGAAGCAGACGCCCTGCTGAGCAGTGAGCCCCACTTGGGGCTCGATCCCAGGATGCTGGGATTATGACCCAAGACAAAAGCAGACAAGTTAAGCCACCCAGGTGCCCCGGTGCTTTTCATCTTAGAAACAACCTATCGACATTTGTAATATTAGTAAAGAATATATATGCTGCTTTGAAGTTTACAAAGTATTTCTACTCAGAATAAATTTTTATATTATGATCTGGTTCTCCAACAATACTCAGAGATTGACTTATTCTCCCCATTTTACAGATGAGAAAATAGAGGCTCAAAGATGTTAAGTGACTTGGGGCACCTGAGTGGCTCAGTGGGTTAAAGCCTCTGCCTTCGGCTCAGGTCATGGTCCCAGGGTCCTGGGATTGAGCCCCACATCAGGCTCTCTGCTCAGTGGAGAGCCTGCTTCCTCCTCTCTCTCTGCCTGCCTCTCTGCCTACCTGTGATCTCTGTCTGTCAAATAAATAAATAAAATCTTAAAAAAAAAAAAGATGTTAAGTGACTTGCTGAATGTCACAAGGCTACTAATACACAGTGGGGCCAAGACAAGACGTCAGATCTTCTGACTTCAAGTCCCTGTATTGTCTGTGTGGGAAAGTGTGGGTTTCTACCTTTTCCCGTGGCTTTCTCTTCCCATCTTCTGTGGCCTTTATTGGCTCTTCAGTTCCTGGCTGATGCTTTCTTTGTCCTCCCTTCATCACCCGGTCTCACCCAGGCTCCCTGAATGACTCAGCTGTAATTTTCCTCACTTGATGGCAGAAGGTAAAACAAGGCCTGATTTGCCACAGGCTGGGCCACAGAGATACAAATGCCCTCACTCAGGTCAGGGACAGCTGGCGAGAGAGAGGCAGACTCGTGCTACCTTGCCCTGGATTTAGTTTCCAACGACTTTCGTGGAACTGAAATAAACTTTAGGGAACCCTATGTGGCAAAGAGTCTCAGGCCAGAGAAGCCAAGGGCAAACCATCAAAGTTTCTAGAATAGCTTCAATGTGCCCGTGTCCAGAGATACCAAGAAGGGTGGGAGGATGTCTAGAAGTTCATCTTTGTCAATGATTTCTTTTCTCTCTTCTATCTTACTGGAAAATTTTTTATTTACTTAGCCCTGCTTTGTTATTGTGGTGAACAGGTAGGTTCAAATCACATGAGCCCGCTTCACGAGCAGTCTGACATTAAGCCAATTGTCTGAATTCTCTGAGCCTCAGTTTCTACTTACATAAAATAGAGATGATAATATCTAAATCATAAGGTTTTGAGATGTAATCATATGATTCATAATTATCACAAATACATGTGATTCATGATGTGCCAGGTGCTATTCTAACAATTTTCTCAACAATAACTTGTTTAATTTTAGCTACTAACATTGTCCCCATATTACAGACCTGAGACACAGAGATGGTGTGGGACTTGCCCAAGGTTGCACAGCTCGAGTGGAACTGCTTGGCTTTGACCCCATGCAGTTTGTTCCAGAAGGCAGGCTCTAGCATCTTACTTTTAGGTTCAATAAGGTGAACTAATGCCTACGAAGTCCCGAGAGAACTACCATGTACTTAGTAAAAAGTTAATGAACAGTGATTATGGCTATATTTAGCCTCCAAAAAATTATTTCAGAGGTTACATCTATTATGATATAAACATTAGCATCACTCATGTCATTTTCTATTTTAAGATAGATTTTTTTAAAAAGATTTTACTTATTTATTTGTCAGAGCGAGAGAGAGCATGTGCATAAGCAGGGGGAGAAGGGGAAGCAGAGAGCCCAATGAGGGGCTTGATCCCAGGATCCTGGGATCATGACCTGAGCTGAAGGCAGACACGTAGCTGACTGAGCCACCTACGCATCCCTAAAGATAGATGTTTTTTAAAATTACGAAACCAGAAGAATCATTCAGAGGTACACTGAAAACATCTTCCCTACCCTGATTCCACTCAACAAAACTTGAAGCTTAAGTTTTCCGGTGAAGAAGCACATGATTATACAGAAGGCAAAAGTAGTGAAAAATTATTGCAGCTCAAAAGAACTAAGATAAGTTCTTTCGTGTGTGTTACCGAATTTAATACAAACAGCAGGGGAGGGACTGTAGTGCCCAATTTAAAGATATGAAAACTGACTTATACTGTAGGACCCCATTTAAAGATAAGAAAACTGAGTCATCAGATTTATTAGTCTCATTACAGGCACACCTTGGAGATCCCACAGTTCACTTCCAGACCCCTGCAATAACGTGAATATTGCAAGAGAGCAAATCAAGTGAAGTTCTCGGATTCCTGGGGCACATATGTAAAAGTTAGGCTTACGCACTACTGTAGTCCATTAAGTGTGCAACAGCATTATGTCTAAAAGAGCGATCGACATACCTAAATTAAAAAACACTTGACTGCGAAATAAGGCTAACCGTTGCCTGAGCTTTCGGCAACAACTGATCACGGATGACCATAAGAAGTATAGTAATAATGGAAACGTTGGAAATGTTGCAAGAATTACCAAAATGGCACAGAGACAGGAAGTGAGCAATTGGTATTGGAAAAAACAGCGCCCAAAGACTTGCCCCAAAGCACCCGCAAAGCATGACAAAATGAGGTGTGCCTACAGTAACCTGTCCACTGAGTAACGTTAACGAGTAGTCTTAAGTCACACAACTCGGAAATGAACACTATGTGACTATCCCAGATGTTTCCACCACACCCAGGTTAAGAGCAAAGCTTAGTATTCAGTGTTCCGTGTGCCCACTTGGTTCCAGGTATTACGCAGAAATCTCCACGCGGCGGTGTGATCGGTGCAGCAAGAGCTGCAGGGCGTGCCGGGGCCCGCGGCCCACCGACTGCCTGTCTTGCGACAAGTTTTTCTTTCTGCTCCGCTCCAAGGGAGAGTGTCTTCGCACCTGCCCCGAGCATTACTATGGGGAGCAAAACACACGGACGTGGACGTGTGAGAGATGCCACCCGACCTGCGACAAATGCAAAGGTGAGGGTGTGTCTGTCATTTTGCATGGGTGTGGTTGGGAAGATGAGGATTCCTCTGGGCCTGGCGCCTCTCTTCTCATTCCTGGAGAGCGCCCTCCTGCTGTCTCTTCGGACCCTCCCATCCTTCCAGGTCCAGATACAGGCATCGTCTCCCCCAGGAGGGGGTTCCCACCCACTCTGTCCTCCTCTGCTTGTTGAACTTGGAATCTGCCTAGGGAGTTTTATTTTTATTATTTCAACAACTGCTTAAGATGTCTGTCTCCAGCTAGCCCAAGCTCCGTTCTAACCTCCCTGAGACTTCTCTGTCCCAGAGAACCCTAGAATCAATGTGTCCCAGAGTAAACACAATCTAGGCTTCCTCTAGTAGTCACTCTTGCTGTTAATGGACCCAATGTCCAACCAATACCTTAACGACATCCTTCCCTTGCCCCCTGCTGACCCACCTGCTTCTTAACAAAGGTAAACTTCAAGGTCTGCTGATTTTCCCTCCTAAGCATTTATGTACTCAGATCTCTTTTTCATTTTTACTCTCCTCATTTTCCATTCTCAGCATTTCTCAGTCAACCTTCTGAAGTACCAGCATGTGACTTGGACTCTGGTTTTGCCAACCGCCCCCTCCCCAGGTCACCCTGCACAGTAATTCCACACCGACTGAAAATTCCCGTCTGCTGGGTGTGGAAAGATAATCAGGATGTATTATTCTCAACATTGAAGAAATACCTCCTACAATGTTTTAATTGTTAAAACTTATTAGGTTAATATTGGTAGTTGGCCCAGTATATTTCCGCTATCCTTTACAAAATTATCTTGGCTATTTCCAGCCCCTTTTCTATATAAATTTTATACTCAGTCACATTTCATTAAAAAAAATCCCCTGGGGCGCCTGGGTGGCTCAGTGGGTTAAGCCGCTGCCTTCGGCTCAGGTCATGATCTCAGGGTCCTGGGATCGAGTCCCGCATCGGGCTCTCTGCTCAGCAGGGAGCCTGCTTCTCTCTCTCTCTCTCTCTCTCTCTCTCTCTCTGCCTGCCTCTCTGTCTACTTGTGATATCTCTCTGTCGAATAAATAAATAAAATCTTTAAAAAAAAAAAAAAATCCCCTGGATATTAATCGGCTTTACACTGAATTTATTTGGGGGGAGGGGAATCCATCATTATGATCCTGAGTCATCACATTTATGGACATGGTCTATCTCAGCAATCTATACATTTACTTGTTGTCCTTCAATAAATCCAATAATTTTTTTTAATTTTTAAAAGGTGATTCAAGTTTTTCCCCAGCCAGTCATTTTAGCTTAGGACCTTGCCTCTCCTTCCATGTATTATAGAACCTAGAGCCACTCAGCACCACCAAACACGTCATACTTTCATGCCTCTGCACCTTTTGTCTACATGCTTCCTCTTCCTGGAGAACAACACTGTAGGGAATGCTCAACTTAGAACACCCAGTTTGGGCGTCATCTACTCTGGGAAGCTTTTCTTTTGGGGGGGAGGAGTTTTTCTTAATCCTCTCAGAAATGCTCTTCCTTACTCTTGATTCTGTAACATACTGTTTTATCATAGCTCTTTTTACATTAAATTTAATCATGTCCATCTCTCCTAGTAATTGTGAGACCCTCAGGGCTGTGCCACATTTATTTTGTATACTCTGTTCTAGTCTAGACTGTAACACATAGTAAGCGCTCATTTAGTTTGCTGAATGAACACAAAACAAACAAATCCTAAAGTCTTTTTGCAAACTGGAAAATTTGCTATTATTAGACCTCCGAATGTTGTGTCTCCACCCTTTCCTCTGATCTCCTTCTTGGGAATTCCTTATTTAATGTCACTCAAACTTTCCTGCTCTCTATGTTTCCCACCTACTATTTCATATTTTTATTTCTTTGACTCTCTGTGGTTTATACTAGGTTAATTCCTCAGTACTTTATTCCATTCATCCAATTTGTTCTCTGTATTTAGTTTGAAGTTCAGTTCATCTATTATTTTAGGGTTTTTTAAATTTAAATACCTTACTTTAAAATTTTAAAAATATTTCTTCTTTATACCCAACTCTCTTTTAAGATTTTTTATTTATTATTTGACACAGAGAGAAAGATAGCGAAAGAGGGAACACACAAGCAGGGGGAGTGGGAGAGGGAGAAGCAGGCTTCCTGCTGAGCGGGAAACCTGATGCAGGGCTGGACCCCAGGACGCTCGGATCATGACCTGAGCCGAAAGCAGACGCTTAATGACTGAGCCACCCAGGTGCCCCTATACCCATCTCTTTTTGTTTCATATCTTCATGTTTGTGTTTCCTAATTTATCCTTTCCTTATCAATATTATGTCTTTTTATTTTTTTAATATCTTTAATATACTGATTTTTAAAACTTTGTCAAAATTCTCTATAAAATTGGTATTATTTGAAGTAAATTCATGTTATGTTCTAATTGTCCATTGTGTTTGTCATCTTAATGTTCATTTTCTCCATATATTTTGGATATTTGGTCTTGAGTTCCTTTTGAATGGGAAATTTCATCCTTCACCCACCCCCTTTATCCCTACTCCTCTCAGCCTAGTAGTTTTTTGGTTAATTCTGCCCCTGCCCCCTACCCTGAAACTGAGTCCAGAAATAGGACATCCCAGCCTTCCTGAAGGGGATGCTGATGACAGTGCAGATCCCATCAGCAACCCAGCTGGCAGCCCTGGGGAGTTCCTGGTCTGGAAGTGAGGTCTACAGGGGCAGTGTCCCCCTCTCACTCTTGTTTTAAGATCTCAGCCTGGATTTTGGCCCACATCTAACAGGAAGCACTTTTTAGTTCCTATTATGATAGAAAAGTTAAACTCACAGACACCATCCCCTCCATCTAGGCTCAGAGCAAAGCAGATGGGTGGCATCAGTCAGACAACTATTATGTATTTATATTCCTTTTCTGGTCCAAAGTGATTTCATCTTATTTTTGAGCCCACCTAACCTTTTATTTATTTATTTATTTTTGGTTCTGTTTATATTTATTCTACCATTTCAGTCCATGGAGTGTATGGGTTAGCTCAGAAGCTGATTTCACATGTGATTTTTTGATGTAGGTGTGTTACTAATGGATAATCAGATTCTTGGAAGAGCACCATGCCCTAAACTATCCTTCTGCTATACAAATGCCTAGGGGTTGGGTATAGTTAGAGGTATAGTTAGAGTGTTTGTTTTGGTTTTTGGTACTTAATACTGTTAGATGAAACAAGCAAAGGCCAGCCTGTTACAGCCTGCTTCTACTCTTGCTTCCTTTCCCTTCCAAAATGATTCACCTCGGAGCAGTTAGTTGACCCCATAGAAACATCAAGAGTGGAGATGAGAAATTCAGCTCCTTCCCCACCCTGGGAGAAGACCGTCAGCCACCCTTGCTGTCTACCCACAAAACCGACCTTCCTAAGTACTATCTTGATGATATTTTATAATAACTTCTCCCCAGGTGCTTCCCAAGTACATAGGAATATAGTCTTCTCCAGACTGAAGCTGGCTTCCATTATCACTATGCCTTAATGCCCCCCAAATCTACTTCTCCATCCCAAATGGTTTTCCTGGACTCTAGTTCCACACATCCAATTGCTTGCTAATGAGTTGCTTGACACCTCACACTTGAAATGTAAATGCAGTTTTCTCCAGCCCCCTCACCCCATCTGTAGACCATCTTCACTCATGCTCCGCATCTTGATGAACGGTTCCACCACCTACCCAGTTGCCTGAGGCAGTAACCTGGTCAGATTGTCCTCTGATCCCCCTGTCTCAACCCTCACATTCAGTCTGTCCTCAACTCCTGTCCATCTACGCCTATCTCTTAACCCCCTCTCCCCTCGCTTCACTTTGTAGTATCAATGCCTTAGTTCAGACTCGTAGACTCGTATAGCCCCTAACCTAGTTATTCACCAATCTCTAACTGGCCTTCTTGCTTCCAGTATAGCCACTGTATGCCAACCGGTCCTCCATTATGTTCTCAGATTGATCTTTCTATGTGACAAATACCATAATGTTACTTATCTGCTTGAAACTAAATCTCCCTCGGCAGTGCCTGCGTGGCTCAGTCAGTTAAGTGTCCAATTCTTGGTTTTGGCTTAGGTCCTGATCTCAGGGACCTGGGATCAAACCCTGCATCAGGCTCTGCACTCAGCGAAGAGTCTCCTTGTCTCTCTCCCGCTGCTCCTCCCCCATGTTCGCTCACATTGTATGTCTCTCTCTCAAATAAATGATAACATCTTTGTAAAAAATGACTCTCCATTGATTCTAGGATAGAATCTTAACTTAGTTAACTCTCATATGAGGTTCTTCGTCTTGGGACTCATCTCACCCCTCACCACCTCCTCCACCACCCTCTAAATCCAGGTGTAGTCAGTTTCTGCAAACCTGAGCCAACCTTGCCCTTTCTCTTTCCGCAATACTTTCCCCAGTCTGCTGTGCCTGGCTACCTCTTTCTAATCCATTAGTCAGTATTTCCTCTACAAAGCCTTCCTTAATCCCTCTACTGTGTTCCTTTAGTACTCTCCATTCATCCATCTGCTTAGTTATCCAACCAATGTTTCTCCTGCAGTATGGCCCAGACAAAGGTTCAAGGGTGAACAAGGCAGTCAGGGCCCTGGAGCCCAGAGGGCATATTTTATGTTATTTATTCTTTCTCTCTGTCTCTTTAAACTGAGATCCTCAAAGGCAAAGATTAATGCTCTCATTTGCCTTTGTTTTTTGTTTGTTTTTGTCTTTAATCAATTCATTTATTCATTAGAGAGAGAGAGAGCACGCAAGCAGGGGTAGGAGGGGCAGAGGGAGAGGGACAAGCAGACTCCCTGCTGAGCAGGGAGTCTCGTATGGGGCTCGATCCCAGGACTCTGAGATCATGAGCTGAGCAGCCACTTAACCAAATGAACAACCCACCCGCCCATCTCACTTACCTTTGTATCTCCAGCACTCAGCACCGTCACAGAGATAGGCAGAGTCAGCGGCCAGGGGCTCCAAGGGCACCTCAAGCAAACGGTGATGGTGC